GGGGAGGTGAAAGGATCGCCTAGATGGGTTGTTTCGATTTGATTTGTAGAGGACATGGCTGGAGAAGAATGCATTGGGAGGGAGAGAGAAGGGCTTAATCAGTACTCCGATACCATGTAGAATGGTGTGCAAGGAAAAACTAATGCAGAACATGAAAGAAGAGAAATGAGAAAGACAGAGAAAACTTTCTATTGCATTCTAATGTGCAGCATACATTGTCTATATAAAGATAAAGGTGAAGATAAGAGCCAAGAAGGTACATAAACGGTAAAGCAAGAAAGTACAAAGATAGATGTTTTGGAGTGTGAGATGCCACGTCAGCGTAGTGTTAACATTTTTCATCTTTTTGGACAAATATCCTTGATAAACTTAATATAAATGGACATTGAAATATTTAAATATTGTCTCTTAAAGAAAATGAAAAAAAAAAAAAAACCCTTAGTTTCATTGCATCATCTGACACACAACTATGTTTAAATATTATGCATATTTATAAGAAAATATATAGGTTTATGGAGATTAGGAGATTCAAGTGACGAACCCATAAATCAAGAATTTTGAATTATCTAAATTATTAAAGGCTTGAATTTAAAATTATTAGCTTGGATATCGAGCCTCTAAATACTTCAATGAATTTTATCCAAAGTGGTGTAACATAGTCTCCGAAGGGTTTATGTATATTTATGATATTATGTGGCCATGTGGGTTTATCTTTATTTGATTTTGCAGCAAATCATAAATTTCCTTTGTATTTCTATTGAAAGTTCTTTCAATTTCAAAATTTAAAGAAATCAATGCCGACTTTTTTTTGCATTATGCATATACTAGAAAAATATCCTAATGGAAAATACAAATACAGAATAAAAATACAAATATATAAATTAGAATTTGAATTAAAACGTTGATAATTTAATCTATATTAATTATTTAAGAGAAATTCTGATTCTGATTGTTATAATACTACCTAATATGACCCACATACAGAATATGTCAAGCCGTGTAGAATTGTGACAGATCGAACCTAAGATCAAATTCGTGTTTTTGGTATTTTTTTGATCAAATTTATGTTTTCAATACTGAAAAATGCAATTAATTTGTTATTGGTAAAACTTTAATTGCGTAACTTTTTGTATGTTATAGAGATCAAGATTATAAATATTTTGACTATTTATTTGAGATTTTTCACTATGTGATTTTGAAAATACAATGAATTTTGTCAACTCAAAATTTATTTGACATCTAAAAATAGTAGTATAATACAATAAAAGTCTTAAAACATCATTTTATACTATTCCTAGTATTTTAGTAATTTTCTAAAAATATGTATTTTTTCCTAATATGATTCTTTATTGTCTACCGTTATGATATTTTGGATATTTTTTTAACTTAAGCTCAATTATGTGTTATTTATTGTAATGCATTGAAAATGAATGTGGATGTATGATTAAAATTACTGTTATAGAACTGTGATACTATTGTGTGTGTAAAATATAGGTAAATACTAGTTGACTCGTTGGTTACTGACCTGTGCAAGATGGTGGGCCAATGGGCTTTTACCAAAAGATTAAAAGAATGTGCATTTTCTCTCTCTCCAAGTAGGTAAGTAGAATTGGTTCAGGATAATAAGTACGAGTGGGGGCAAGCCATTCAATATTTAATGGGGTGACAAACTTCAATTTCTTCATGGTATGAGCTCATAATACAAATGAGAGAGTAAGGAAAGATAAAGAGGTGGAGTTCTTCGCATTCGAACCAGTGCATGAGAGATTGTGAGGGGAAGGCTTATTGTAGGGTCTGTAGAATATAATTTTTGAAAAGGAGGGAGAGGAAGGCACAATGCGGTTCCGCCTCTGAGCATAAGTTATACTATCTCAAGCGGACAAACACCACTTTAACGAACAAAAATATCATTTCACAAAATCTCAAAACAAATAAAAATGTTAAGATTCACGGATAACATTAGCTAAAACTATCACGTAAGAAGTGTAAACAACTAAGCCTTCACAATACAAACTAAAGGAATAAAAAAATTGAAAAAAAAAAAATAAACCTGCTATGCAATCTTTGTCAAATCGCTGAGCCCTCGATCTCAAGCCCTATGTTAGAAATGAACGAACAGACGATTCACGAGAAGGAAATTTTATGTTGGGATAAGTTGCTCGTTGGACGAGCGACTTATGCAAAGTAACCAGTCGCCCGTCAAATGGGGTACTTCGGTAATTTTTAATTTTTTTAAAACATTGGTGAGTAACTTAAACTTTAAATTGTAATTTTTTAAAAAAATTAATCCTATAAATATTTAGATATTAAATATATAATAATTTTATAAAAAAAATTATGTTTGCTTGTAAATTCTGAAATGAAAATGTACAAGAAGATGTTTAGAAAAAATATTATATTAAAAAAAGGCTTGTGGTTTGTGTTGTTGCATGGCGGTTGAGGGCATTCGTGCCTCGCTAGAAGCAACATGTTTATGCCCCTGTGCATAATTTACACTATCTCAAGCGAATAAATACCACTTTGACGAACAAAATATCAATTAAAAAAAACTCAAAACAAATAAAAATATTGAGATTCACGAGTAACATTAGCTAAAACTATCGCCTAAGAAGAGAAAAACTAAACCTACACAATACAAACTAAAGGAATTAAAAAAAAAACAAACCTGCGACGCAATCTTTGCTGAATCGCCCGAGCCCTCTTGCATCCTAGGTTAGAAACGAATGATCAAACGATTATGGGAAGGAAATTTTATGTCTGGAAATGTTGCTCGTTGGACAGGCGACGTCCAGTCACTCGTTAAACAAGCAACTTTGTCTATTTTTAAATTTTTTAAAACATTGGTCATTAACTTAAACATTAATTGCACTTAGTTTAAAAATTAATCTTATAAGTATTTAGATATTAAATATATAATGATTTTATAAAAAAAAATTACTTTTGCTTGTAAATTCCAAAATTAAAATGTATTAGATGATGTTTAGATACAATATTATATTAAAAAAAGGCTTGCGGTTCGTGCCGTTGCATTGCAGTTGAGGGCATTTGTGCCTCTCGCTAGATGCCGCATTTAAGTTGCTCAACGTGCCAAAAAAACAAAAAAAAAAATGCTAAGCATCCTAATTGTAATTGCTAACCTAGATTGAGTGATGCAATCATCCCAAAATAATTGTTGAGTTGTATGTTATAATACATAAAACTTATGGGCTTAGATGTTAGGAGATTCTTCTATATATTATGTTAGACAACAGTGGTCATCAATATTGGTTGTCGCATATAACTCTCTCCAACTCCAAATTCAAGTTTAGCTCTAAGTTCCAATCACCCTTTTATGTGTTGAATGATGGTCTATTTATATTTTTCTTGAATGACATTTCAATAATTTTAGCCAAAATCATCAAAGCATTTATCAAAAGGCACGTATTGATTCACTAGGTCGAAGAATTTTTGTTTAGCATTTAATAATTTTAATGACCTAAAAATTGAATGCATTAGACTTGTTGAATTCCTCTCATCGATACGCTCGACTTTACTTATCATTTAATTTTTCAATTATTATAATGATTTTTTCAATAATATTTCATGTGCTTGTTTTGAGCATTAAAGTTATATTAGCTCAATTCTAGTGTTATTGAACTCTTCTTATCAAAATGCTCAATTTAATAATAAATTTTTTGAAATCATATTTCAAATTATCCCCAATATAATTCTGAAAATTTTAAATTCAGAAATTACATTGAGAATTCTGCTTCTCGAAGGATTTTTTTTGTCAACTCATATCGGGTCAAATTTAATCCCGATTTCATCATTATCAAAATTCAAGAACGACATACATTATTCGTTTCAATCAAACTTTATTTATAAAAACAAAGGACTTGGTCAAGATTAATTTTAATAATCCTAACGAGGAAATTTAAATAAAAATTTATAAAATAAAAATAGAGTAGTTATAAATACATAATAAATATCAAAATTAAAAATTTAAAGTTTTTTCTATACGATTTAAATTAAATTAAATTAAATTTTAAATTCAAATTCAAATCAAATCAAAATTAAAATTAACATTTTTGCAGTTTAGTGAGCGATTATCAATATATAACAAAAATCAAAATTAAATTTTATTTAAGTTTTTTTCTTTAGAATTTAAATTAAAATAAATTTTAAATTCAAAGAAAAAACATTAAAAATCATTATTTTGATATTTATTATGTATATTTTATTTTTTTAGTGCCCGATTGAATTTTTTTATAGATATTTTGTTGCCAGCAATTTTTGTTCTTATAACTTAATGAATAAACTTAAATAAATTTTAATTTTAATTTTGTTATGTATTGATAATTACTCACTAAATTGTAAGAAGATTTTAATTTTAATTTGAATTTAAAATTTAATTTAATTTAAATTCTAAAGAAAAATTTTAAAATATTTAATTTTGATATTTATAAAGTATTTATGACTATTCTATTTTTAATTTTTTATTTTACAAAATTTTATTTAAATTTTCCATATAAAATTATTCTATTCTTAGTCGAGTTTTAATCGAGCTTCTAAACGAGATTGTTCACGAGCTTCTAAGTGAGACTGTTTATGAACATAAATGAACCTAACAACGTGATGTTCAAGCTCGTTCATTTAGCTATCGAGTACTTATCAAGTGTGTTCAAACTTATTTGTTTACCTAATCAAACAGACATGAACGAACCCTTATCAAGCATAGCCATAAGCAGCCCGTGGAACGCCCAATTCATTTGCAGCCCTTACTTGTTTCTTTGCCTACTCTCTCTCTCCAGCCTTTTTTTTCTCTTTTCATTTAAATTGAATGTACCAATTAAAATAGTGCAAATGTAAAACCACTTTTTGCATCTTCTTCCAAATTTATAGTTATCGACAATGGTTAGCATGACGTCGTTGATGCAGAAAAGAAATTGGAAAGGACAGGAAATACACGTGGCCATTGTCAGGAAACACGAGACGGAAGCCGAACATCCGTTGCAAAGACGCTTACTGTTTTTTTTTCGGGGGTTGATACTTCCATTTCCATTTCATGCTCCCATTCGTCGTATCACGTTATAAGCGGTTCCTCGGCTCCAAATTCGATACTTTTCGAGCCGTTGGAGACCGGAAAAACCTCCGCCCGGCTCACTTTCTTGAGAATTTGTACAGTCTAACTTCTCCCCTTCTCCAGGCCGTGGCCTGTTGATATTGATTTCAGGAACTAATTCAGTTTTATTTTTGTTTGCTTGATTTCTGAAGACCTCGCAGGGGATTCCATTGGTCGACGTTAAAAGTCTGTGCTTTGAAGGGCAGGGCTACTCTGGTATGTGATTAGAACTTTTTCTTATTTAGGGCCAATGCTGGTAAATTTTGGCATGACTAGTGCGTAGGTGAGATTCATCATACGTTTAGGTTTTCAAGTTTTCAGATTTGGTCGCTTGGTCTTTTATCAGTTTTCTCATCTTTTGGAGTGGATGCATGTATTGAATTTCTATATTTTTACTATGATGCAAGCCAGATATATCAAATTTAAAGAAAACCATGACTGCTATTTTTGGTTTATCTGCAATTAGTGAAATTGGTTTTTTTTTTTTTTGGAATTTACTGAGACGGGTTCAAACGATTTTGTAGTACTGCAGCACAATGTGTAATGATCATTGAATTTCTCTCTTAAAACTGTTAGTTTTCTTGTATCAGATGACAGATGCAATCTAAGTTGTTAAATCATTTAAACTGGTTTCTGTTTTATCTTCACGATTTAACAATCACCACTGTGTGATCTTATACGCAAGATAGTGACGCTCTGAATTGTTCTTGCAGTTGACAATTGGTAACTGGCACCATGTTGGGTAATGGAATTGTTGGTATTCTTTCTGAGTCTTCAAATATATGGGAGAGGAGAGCTCCATTGACTCCTGCACACTGCGCCCGTCTTTTGCACAGCGGAAAGGGTAAAAATGGCGTTCAAAGGATAATTGTGCAGCCAAGTACAAGGCGTATATATCACGATTTTCAATATGAGGATGTTGGGTGTGAAGTATCAGATGACTTATCCGAGTGTGGTCTCATTCTTGGTGTCAAACAGCCGAAGGTCTGGGAGACTCTCTGGCCTAAATTTTTATTTGTTGGCGCAATTCCTAAAGATTTATGCTTTGGATAGCTTTCTTACTGCTTCTTAAAGCAGTTTTTTAGTATAAAAATTTTAATTTTTGTTCTATAATGCTGCTTTAAGAAGCAGTAAGAAAGCCGTCCCAAACGAAGCCTTAGTATGTGAATTCTGAAGTTCATATTTGATTATTTTGTACAGTTAGAGATGATTCTTCCAGATAGAGCATATGCATTTTTTTCCCACACCCATAAGGCTCAAAAGGAAAACATGCCTATGTTAGATAAGGCAATTACCTGTTCATCTTTTGAATTTTTTGCTTCTGTTACCGTTTATTTCGACGATCTTGTTTTCTTTTTCAGATTTTTTCTCAAAGAGCTACTTTGTATGACTATGAGTTGATAGTTGGGGATAATGGTAAACGACTCCTTGCCTTTGGAAAGTTTGCTGGTAGAGCTGGATTAATTGATTTCTTACATGGGCTTGGAAAACGTATAGCCGTGGTGCATTCGCCTCAAAACTTCTCTTTACTTTCTTTGCTTTCTTCAGTTAATTATTTGAATTGGTAGCATTTATGTAATAGCTTTTTTAACAATTTGCTCACTAAATAGCTACACAATTCTCTCAAAATCTAGTTGTTGAAAAATGCAGAATATCTTTTATCTACCTGCTCGTTGTCAATTGTTAAGTGACTAGAATTTTTCTTTATCAAATTTTCAGGATATCTAAATCTTGGATATTCGACACCTTTTTTATCTTTGGGAGCTTCTCATATGTATCCATCTCTTGCTGCTGCAAAGGCTGCAGTGATTGCTGTAGGAGAAGAAATAGCTACACAAGGATTACCACTTGGGGTTTCTCCTATAGTCTTTGTGTTTGTTGGGAATGGAAATGGTATCAATTTCCTTGCTGTGTTAATTTTGATGTTTATTCACGCTTTGGATCAAGCTTCTTACTCTACTGCTACTCATTACATTTGCTGAACTTATAGTACTATTTTTGGCTTGGGCACATTCTTAAGGGAAAATAAACTTAGATAGATGTTGAGTGCATACACACATACACACTATCATCTGATGAACTGTTGTGCAATTAATTTCTTAAATCAACAAAATTAGGAGGTTTTGTGTTGCTATAGAGCTATAGTTTATTCATTCATAATTATGGTGGTTGCATTGTCCTATGCACAAATGAATGCCATTTTAGAACATTATCATAACACATCCTGGTTGAGCTTCGAAGATAACCTATGGCATGATTATGAGCTTGATTCTAGTTTCAATCTTAGAAACTCTTGTTTGATTATTTGATTCTCTACTTGTTTCCTATGATTTCACTACATAACATTACTTTCTATCATGTTGTCACAAGACTTTAGAGCTCATTTAGTCATAGTTATGCAGGTTGTACTGCAGTGCATCTGTCATTTTTTTTATTCATATTGGAAAATGCTTTGTTTTACACATTATAATTATGATTTTGTATGCCATTCCGTTTAACATTGCTGCAATTCTTCTATGGTACAAAGCTTTTGAGGCCAACATTGATGTCCCCAAGACCTGCAAGGAATTCCAGACAAGAAAAACAAGAACCTGAAACAGAGAAAAAGAGAGGCTCACCTCTCGTTAAGAAGAAGAAGATAGTTCGGCAGAACAAAGTTCTTTAGGAGATTATCAAAAGCTGCTCACTTACAGTCATTCCTACCTATATGTATTTGCTATCATTTGCATTTTCTAATATTACCGAAAAAGAAAATTACTAATTAAGGCAGAGCAAATAAAAAGCAGTCTAGTACTATAATAACGGAAATGGTACGGGGAACGTGTGGCATGATGAGCCATGCTAAGCTCTGCTAAGATGTTCTGCTGTGCCGCCAAGCCATGATAAGCTCTGGATCAGTCCTCCTCGGCTGCCGGAGAGCTCGACTCCGACGAGCTAATTGTAATCGGTGAGGCATCCGGTGGTTGATACGAGCATATATTGGAGACATTAAAGGTTGGAGCCATGTTGTGACCAACTGGTAAATCAACCGTATAGGCATTATCATTGATTTTTGCAATGATTGGAACATGACCTATCTTACGGCGGCTGAGTTTATTGTAGGTGCCCGGTGGAAAACACTCACGGCGCATGCGAACCATAACAAGATCGCCCACATTGAACAAAGTTTGCCTCCGATGGAGATCTGCGGCCTCCTTATACTTAGAATTGGCTTTCTCTAGCTGTTTGTTAACGTCCGCGAGCATGTCGGCGTACTGATTGGAGAAGTTTGTTGCGGACCCGGACTTGCACTTTGGTAAAACAGCTACATCCACAACAATGTTAGGAGATTTGGTATAAACTATGCTGAATGGTGGCTTACCGGTAGAGCGGTTCAGAGTTGAAAGCAAATTCCGCAATACTAAGTACTTCCCACTGTCTTGGGTGGTCTTGTACCAAGCAACGAAGCATGCTCCCCAATGTGTGATTCACGACTTCGGTTTGTCCGTCCGATTGAGCTGAGCTAAGTCGCAAATCGGTGCCCAATCTCTTCCAAAGCTCCCGCCAAAAGTGGCTTATAAACTTAACATCCCGATCGGATGTTAGACTTTGTGGGATCCCGTGTAAACGGACAACCTGGTGAAAAAAAAAGATGTGTAACATGAAGGGCGTTTGAAGTTTTCTTACAGGCGATGAAATGCGCCATCTTCGAAAAACGGTCGACGACAACCATGATTGAATCATTGCCCTTCGATGTGCGAGGCAGCCCGAGAACAAAATCCAGGCTGAGGTCCTCCCAAATTGAATCTGGAACCGGTAGGGGGGTGTAGAGGCCTGTATTTTGTGCACCCCCTTTGTAGCTTTGGCACATGGCGCAGCGATCCACAAAACGGAACACATCCCGGCGGAGGTGTGGCCAATAGAACCAACACTTCATCTGAGCTAAGGATTTATCTTTCCCCATATGAGCAGCCAGGGCACCACAGTGAACTTCTCGGATGAGGTGTTGCCGCCAGGAGGGCAAAGGGACGCACAGTAGGCTGTTGTAAAAAAGAAATCCATGCTTAATAGAGTAGCAGGGAACAATTTCATTTTGTTGACATTTGGCCCAAATGTCAGAGAAATCATGATCAGTTTGATACAGCTCTTTGAGACATGCCAATCTCGAGAATTCTGTCTGGAGTTGGTTGACTAGTAAAACTTTTCTGCTGAGAGCATCCGCCACTTTGTTATTTTGTCCGGCATGGTGTTTAAGGACAAATGAAAATCTTTGGAGGAAGGCCACCCAACGAGCATGCATTCTATTTACATGCTTTTGACTGTTTATGAATTGAAGAGCTCTGTTGTCTGTACACAAAATGAATTCTTGGTGTAAGAGATAATGCTCCCACTGCTTCAAAGCACGAACAAGTGCATACAACTCTTGTTCATAGGCGGACCAGCGCTGTCGTGACGGACAAAGATTTTCACTGAGGTAAGCAATGGGTCTACCCTCTTGTGACAGAACTGCTCCAATGCCAACGGAGGAGGCATCCGTTTCTACCAAAAAAAGCTTGTCGAAGCTGGGTAGGCTGAGAACTGGAGCGGATGTGAGCGCCTCCTTGATGACAGCAAAGCTGTGTTGTTGTTGCTCTCCCCAATGGAAAGTTTTGGATTTTAGACAATCCATGATAGGACTCATTATCACACTAAATCCTTTTATGAATTTGCGATAAAAATTTGCTAAGCCATGAAAGCTACGAACCTCAAAAAAGGATCGGGGAGGTGGCCAGTTTTGTATTGCCGCTACCTTATCGGGGTTCATTTGGACACCAGCTTTTGACACAACAAATCCCAGAAAATGTGCTTGTGGCGTGGCAAACTCGCACTTCGGTAGGTTGAGAAACAACTTATTCTCCTGTAGAATAAGGAAGAGCTGTTTGAGGTGGCCAATATGCTGCAACAAGGTGTCACTGTATACTAAGATGTCGTCGAAGTAAGCGATGCAGAATTTTCCCCAAACTGGCTTGAGAATGTCTTGCATCATTCTCATAAAGGTGTAGGACGCGTTGCACAATCCGAATGACATTACTCGCCATTCGTACAGACCGGAACCGGTCTTGAAGGCTATCTTCCATTTGTCGCCGGGGTGAATTCGAATCTGATGGTACCCACTACATTAGGTCCAATTTTGAAAAAATACACGAGCCTTCCAATTCATCCAGCAATTCGTCGACCCGAGTACAGGAAATCTGTACTTTACAGTGATCTTGTTTATGGCTCTACTATCAACACATAAACGCCATTCACCATTTTTCTTGGTCACCAATAACGCGGGAACAGGACAGGGACTGATACTTGTCTGGATGAGCTGTTTATTCAGAAGGTCTTCAATGATGGCGTGCAATACTTGCTGTTCTTTGGGATTTAACCGGTAATGAGGGAGATTCGGTAAGACTGCATTTGGCAAAAGGTCTATTTGATGCTGAATATTTCGAAGGGGAGGAAGAGTGTCGGGGAGCTTGTTTGGGCAGATGTCACGGAACTCTCATAACAATTGTTGTACCTCTTCAGGGACATCTAGAGAGTCTGGAACAAAAGGCTCAGTGACAACCAATGCCCACATTGGGATTGATTCCTTCCAAGTGAGTAGAAGATTAGGTCCAGAGACCACATGCATGATAGCTAAAGGAGATTGTTCAGCCACGGGAGCTTTGTTTTCACGGGGACCAGGTAGTAGTTTGAGACGCCTGCCTTTCCACTCTAGCGAATATGCATTGGCCCGACCGTCATAAATAGCACCTGAATCAAATTGCCATGGTCGGCCTAAAATCAATGGCACACATTCATGTCCAAAATATCGCAGAGGACGTCGCACACATAAAGGCGGCCAATAGAAAAGGTGAGTTGGCACATCTCCGTAACAGGAATATCAATTCCTTTCTTGACCCAACTGATTTTATAGGGTTGAGGATTCTTTGTTGTTTTGAGCTGTAAGGCTTGAATTACCGAACGGGAGATTATGTTTTCTGTACACCCGCTATCAACGAGTAGGTCACAAACCTTTCCTGCAATGGTACACCTTGTTTTAAAAATAGCGTGGCGTTGCGAAGCATTGTGGTGTCTAGGAGCGATTAACAATTTTTCTAAAACACAGATCACTGGATCCCCTTCATCACCCTCCAGCTCGTCTACAGCCGAACATCCATTTCACCAAACTCCTGTGAAGCTTCCCCTTCTTCATTTTCTAACATTTGTAGTTGCTGCCGTTGCGGACACTCGTTTGACTTATGACCAGGCTGAAAACAACAGAAGCACTTCAGGGTGCCCGGCTTAGCGTATGGATTGGTTTGCTGAGGGGATCTTGATTTGGGTTGTGTCTTGGTATCTGCATTCGAAGTAACCAATGCAGTCTGTTTGGACTGCGTTGGCATTGGCAAGTGGGGAGGGCCACTGCTTATAGTTTGGAATTGAAGGGAGCTCCCCCTGGAGGCGTCGGGCACGAAATCTGGAGTCTTCCGCCGAGTAAAATTTGTCCTCGTAGACCAACTGAGCTGTATTTCTGCCTTTAAGGTGAAATTGATGGCTTGCGACAGTGACCACACCGAGTTCAATTCAAGCCGGTCTTGAATACTATACTTGAGTCCCCCAATATATCTAGTAACCAGCTGATTCATGGACTCATTCAGATTGTTTCGGGTGCTTAATCAATGGAACTCCTCCGTGTATTCACTTACTGACCGATTACCTTGTGCACACTGTTGATACTTCATATAGAGGATCTGTTCATAATCAGTTGGTAGGAATTGAGCGTGAAGGAGTTGTCTCATTCGAATCCAGTTGCGGATTGGGCCTCTTCCTTCTCTTTGCCGCATTTGCAGTAATTGAGTCCACCAAGCACTCGCTCCACTTCGCAACCTACAGGCTACATACTTGGCATGTTTGGTCGGCTCAATTTCCATGTAATCGAAGAAGTTCTCAATAGCCTTCTCTCAATCTAGGTAATCTTCAATGTGCAAATGGCCATCAAAAAAGGTATGTCTATCTTGAATTTAAATTCCGCCTGATGCTGATGGTGTGCTGGGCGTCGTCTATGCCAGAAGTGTTCTCCAGGATGGTCGAAGTTAACATTCTCTTCCTCGGTCTCGCTTCCGCCTCCTTCCGGTTGCCTTTCAAATTCTTCTTCCGAATCCGATTCTCCTTGTACAGGAATGGGAAATCGACGCCGTTTTCGATCAATAATACCCATACCATGCCGGCCACCGGGAATGATTGGCGGCTCCTGTTCCCGGCGTGGTTGACAATTTGCCTCCGCTGCCCGATTGAGATTTAACTCTCGGTGCAGTGTCAGGGAAAGACGTTGCACATCAGCGGACAACGTCTCAAGTTGGCGGAAGATGGCTGTCTGGTTTTCCCATAATGTTTCGAAGCTCCGATCGTCGTCGGCAGCCTGTTCTTTGCCCCGCTCCGTCATCCTTCTCGTCTGGATTCTCTGGCTCTGATACCACCTGATGTCCTCAAGACCTGCAAGGAATTCCAGACAAGGAAAACAAGAACCTGAAACAGAGAAAAAGAGAGGCTCACCTCTTGTTAAGGAGAAGAAGATAGTTCGGCAGAACAAAGTTCTTTAGGAGATTATCAAAAGCTGCTCACTTACAGTCATTCCTACCTATATGTATTTGCTATCATTTGCATTTTCTAACATTACCGGAAAAGAAAATTACTAATTAAGGCAGAGCAAATAAAAAGCAGTCTACTACTATAATAACGGAAATGGTACGGGGAACGTGTGGCATGATGAGCCATGCTAAGCTCTGCTAAGATGTTCTGCTGTGCCGCCAAGCCATGATAAGCTCTGCATCAAACATTTTATTAAGTAGTTTTTAACAAGAAATTAAGGTATGGACTTGGTTAAAGATATTCAAGACAAACAATTTGGTAGCATTTTATTCTACTATACTTGAACGGATTGTGTTTATGTACTATTATTGAGCTTTCAAAAGCGCTTGAAACATTAAAGATGATATGGTTACCAATGCCCAAGGCACTTTCCTGAGTGTAGCGTGATGCTAAAAAAATAGTTATATAATTTATGAGTTTATATGAATTATGAGAATATGTTTAAAGAGTATAAACTGATAGTCATCATATTGAAAAAATGACCACTTTTCAATTTTCATTACATTAAAAATAAAAAATATTTCAAAATAGATTATTTCAAACAATTTTAGTTAATTTCTTGAGGTTTGCAATGTGCACGGCTTAGGAATAATCAAATCTTCACTTTGAATTTATATACCCCTTATCTTCCTTTGTTTATTGAACTCACCATCTTCTTTTATATTATTTATTAATTTTGTAGAACTTAAGTTCTTGCACTCTCACTTTAAATTATTTTAAAGATGCATGGTTGTTTTTCCAACACTTGATGATCTTTTAAATCATCACATTTCAGGTTATGATCATAAGAATGAACTAATTTTTAACATTTAAAGCATTAACATTCATCAATCAAATCAAGACAAGACCCTCACGTCACTGCTTGGGGCCTTAAGGCTTGTTGCTCGTTTAGGTATAACTTCGTAATGATGTTCTTGTAGAAAGTTTGTGGGCCATTATGATTTTGTATCGGCCATCTCGAGGTCCTGAATAAAAGCTTAGCTCAACTTGAATTTTCCTTTTAAAAAGCAAACATGCATGTTTGTAAAATTAACTATTGGTACAATTCTTATCTTGATAGGCTCAATCTCTTTGAAAAATGACTTTGCTATATTAAATTTGTTTGCCATCAAGCAAGTGTTTTCTAAACTGCCTGACACACGAAAGGTAATATGGCTGCTTGAGGCTCTAGACACCACTATAAGAGACACTCGAGCAACTAAAAAATATTTATAATACTTATAAATTTCTGATAATCACAAATTCAATTAAATTGGATAATATTATGAATTTGTAAGTTCCATTGCATCCTTAGTTTGAAAAGTTTTCTAAATGAATTATTTTAAACAAGTGCAGATAGAATAATTAAGTTTGGTGACTATATAGCTGGAGGATAATCTAATATTTACTTATATATGTTTCATCTTTGTCATCAACCATGCTCTCTTCTCTATATCTAAATTTATAATCCTCTATCTCACACTATTTTCATAGACTAATCCTCTTCATTAAAGATCTATACTTAAGACATTAAGTTCATGCACTTGGTCAATTTGTTTTTAATATAAGATACTTCTTCAACTGATGATGCTCTTTTTACGTCTTACCATGCCATGTTATCATACAAAAACCTATCTTTAATATTGAAGTTTTATTACTGATATTTTAAATGACAATAATGCTGTCCTTGATAATGAAAAATTCATTTTTGATAAATTTTATTCAGATTTATATTGAATTAACATGATTTTATTAAGTACAATGTTGCATTGTGATTGTGTTTGCTAATATACTTGAATTTTCCTTTGTGTAGTATCTCAAGGTGCACAAGAAATATTTAAGCTCCTACCACATACCTTTGTCGATGCAAGCAAGCTTCCTGAAATTGTTGGACAGGTTACTAAAATTTCCTTTCCTTATTTACCTTTTTCCCCTTTCAATTTGTTGATATCATGAATTTAATTCATGCAAAGTGGGATTTTCCCATTAAACTAATGTTTTTGTTGACATTTATTGTGGCTCCAGTTGTTTGAGCTAATTCCAACACTTATTTTAGCCAATGTGTTAAATTATATAAAAGAACTATACTGATTAGTTGTTCACTACTTTTCCTTATATCATATGGGCTGAGGTTCCAATCCAAGCAAATATTTTCTTCAATTTTAAAACCTTGGCTTGCATATTGCAGAAGTTGGAAAGAAAAATGGCATGAATTGGAGGCTTTAGTGAGATCAGTTGAGGCATCAGCTTTAGCTAGATGAGATTTTATGAACTTGACCGATCCATTCTTTTCCATTACTTCCTCTGTGGATTGCTTGGATGTGTAGAAACAAAATCTGTAAGCATTGTTTACGCGGATTTCCCAAACTAGCCTATGCCCAGAGGAGTCTGTTCCTCTTGATAACAAAACTAGGTTTGTTGCATGATAATAGATTCATTTTGACTAAATTCAACTTTTCCAAGAGTTTACTAGGACAGGACTATTTCTTGGATTTTAAGTTTCTTTGTCTAACACGCATTCAGGGTGATTGCCCACAACCTATTCTCTTTAACAAAATGCTAGAGTATTTCCTTTTTCTCAAAAAAAGAAAAGTAAAAAAGAAAAATCAACTATTTTCGACATATAATTAAAGAATGAGATAAGGATGAAGATGATGAATGCTTTTTTGTGAATTTAAGTCGTCTATTGAGCCATGGCAAAATAAGCTTAATATCATTAGTAAAAACTTACTTTTTTAGGAAGTAGATCTGTGACTTAGGTTTTGTTCTTTGGAATTTGCTTAATTTTGAAGTACTCAAATTTCTTAATTTTAAATTTTACTTTGAACATATATTTTTGGAGGACTTCTTCTTTGGCCCCATTTCCCTTATTGAGAACGAGTTAAGAGTAAGAAACAACATTGTCAAGTGCTTCATTTCAACTCCAGTTGCAAACCTTAAGCCAACAATTAATGCTTCATATTTTGGCTTAGCTGTTTTCAATTAGAAAGTATATTTTGATAGCGTGAGTAGGTATGATTCCTGTTGGGCTTTTTCCAACATGCCGATTCCAATGCCTTCAATACTAGAGGCTCTATCAATTTACAAATTCCATAACAAATCATTTTTCAGAGTTGCTTCTTCTTTTGCGCTTTGATTGTGATTCTTAGGGTGCATTTGGGATGACTGCAGCCGTCGATAAAGCAGGTTGTGAAGTTGCTATACAGAAAGTTGCTTTCTGAAGTTGCTGTATATAAAATAGTATTTTTTGTTTGGGTAGTATAACTGTAAAACTGCTTTGCTGCAGCTGTATAAGAATAATTTACATTACTACTCCCGTTATACATAAATTTAAACTATATAAAATCATTTTTTTTTGTTACTATATAGAAATACATAATTACACATGAGTTAAATGGATATCCAGAGAATTGACAACAGAAGGGAAGGTTCGAAAATTAAAACTTTTGGATATCATAATTGCATATGAGCAGAATGAAATTATGGAACACATATATGACAGTAAATTCCATATATAGCATTACTGAGATGAACAGTGTAATACAGGATTTTGATACATAGAAATGATATTATCCTTTATAGCATTTTTCCTTTCTCTGCTTTACTTTTTCTGATAGGTTACACATTGCTTAGCAAGCACTATCTTCAGGTTATATTCCCCTTCTTGAACATTAATGTTTAACTATGCAGGATCTTCCTAATTAAACACATATATGTATGTTGAGTGTTGATAGAGAAAGAACCATAAGGCGATTGCTTATTATCCATGTTGAATTTATTTAGTCAGTTGGTTATGTTGTTTGACATAAATTAAAACATTTAATATTGATATAACAAAATGTTTTGTAGTTCCATATGTATAGTCAAGATCCTGAGAAGCATATTTTTTGTTTGGTGCACAAGTAAAACATAATACTTTCTCATTAATTAAACTAATAAAATGCTGATTCTTTGTTAGAAAATTTCATACAAATTTCGTCATTTTCTTCCACTATCTTCAACACGGATTGTACTCTGTTGTAAAGAGAATGAATGTTTTGCTAAATGCAGTGTGTACCCAAACATAAAGGTTATAAGAGAGGGATGAAAACAATTTGTGGTGGATAATAATCTAAAGATTGGAGATGACTGTGTTTTTGAGCTAATGAATAACAAAGAATTGAAGTTCAAAGTTCATATTCTCAAGGGAGAATTACTAGCTACTAAAAGTACTTATTTTATAGTTGGAAGTAACATTGATAATCCCATTTTCTTCCATAATTTATAATAAAGCAAATCCCTATCACAAACATATAAATATTATAATGATATATAGTTCATCTTTTTTTAACTATCAAAGTCAATATGTATAAAGAGAAAAGCTGAAAAATTGATACTAAGAAGTTTATGTAGATCAAATGATATCACTATAATCTTGTAAAATATATGAGCAATGTTGTTAGAGAAGTTTGTGTTGAAAGATAGTTGTTAATTCATTTCATTAATCAATATAGATTTGATTTGCTCCTGTAGTTGTATTATTTCCCAGCACCTTCCCCTTCTTGTGCCTTATTATTTGTCACATCTCCTTTATGATATAATAATGATTGACCAATTTGATACTCATATGCTTCTGGAGGTATATATGATCGATCCTTATCGCACACATTGAATTCTGGATTATTATGTGAGGGATGGCACCGTATGTAGTTATGTAATGCTATTGTTATCACCACTATTCTCACTTGCTTCTTGAATGGATATGTAGGCATATCACGCAAGATAACACACTTTTTTTTTCCAAAGACCAAATGACCTCTCAATCACACCTTCTAGTGAAGAGTGACGCTTGTTAAATATTTCTTTTCTCCCAAGTATGAATTGACTCACTCTTTGAAAAATTAAGAATATGATACTTTGTATCAAAAAATGTCTTCAAAAATTCTCGTTGTATTGGGCACCCAATATCCACAAGATAATATTTATCTCTGTAATTGCAAATTATTTAGTTAAAGAATAAGTAAGGTGATTGATTATAATAGAAAATACATACTTGATAGTGACATAGGAAATTGATATTATTGATTATGTATAACAAATTTAAAAATATGAATGTTATGTGTATTATCCTCCTATCCTGACATTACAAAAGTAAAACACATGTTAAAGTCACAAACTGCCATAACATTTTGCATCGTTGAACCACATCATTCTATATAAGCCATATTTTTAATAGTTGAAACACAAGAGCATCCACATGCGTTCCATCAATGGTTCATATGCAATCCTAATTCAGAATATATGATTAGATATTTCATAAATATTTACAAATCATATAAGATAATAATAATAAAATTTACCTTAAAATATGACATATATTGATCATCATACAAAATTTTTCTTGGAATATTTTCAAAACTAGAATCTATAGGCTTGATAATGTAACTTGATAATTTCACTAAAGCTTTCAGTCAAATAAAAAAATACTTACTAATAGTCTCAGTTTAGTGTTAAAATTGCTTACATGTCGACCTTATTGATTCATTATGTTATAAAATATATAAGGTGATCACAAGTACTTCTCTATCTGTTATCCTTGATGATTCATGTAGACCATGAATACTTTTTAAGTCATATTTAATATCTAAAAAAATTGTTTAAGACATACGAAATATATTATGAAACCTCATTGAATGGCCTTGTAATAACTCTCCAATCCATCTGTCTCCTCTATACGATGAGATCATGCACGGAGTTTTGTAAATGTATATTTCATAATTCTTATTTATAAGACATATAGTTGCAACTATAATTTTTTTGAGTTTTGCAATATCGGGTGACTCACTTGTATTTTCATTATATTTCATTTATGCATATAGATAACGGTAAGAATTATTTTGTTGTTTGTATATGAACTTGTAATTTGTGATAGCTAAATAAAACTTAATTTAAACAATTCAAATATATTGAATAATGACTGGTTTTGACTACACAACTAAGTAAGTTGCAGACAATAACAAGTTATAAGTTCAGATACAATCAACAAAATAATTCTTACCGTTATATGTATGCAGGAATGGAATGCAATAAGAATATAAGTGAGTCATCCGATATTGCAAAACATAAAAAAGTTATAATTATAACTATGTGTCTTATAAATGAGTATTATGAAACATATATTTACATGACTCCGTGCATGACCTCGTCGTATAGAGGAAACAGATGGATTTGAGAGTACTACAAGGCCATTCAATGAGGTTTCATAATATATTTTGTATGTCTCAAATAATTTTTTTGATCTTACGTATGACTTGGAAAGTGTTCATGGTCTATATAGATCAACAAGGATAACAACTAGAGAAGTACTTGTGATCACCTTATATATTTTATCACATAATGAATCAATAAGGTCGACATGTGAGTAATTTTGTATCATAATGAATCAATGAATCAATTAAGACTATTAATAAATATTTCTCTATTTGATTGGAAGCTTTAATGAAATTATCAAGTTGCGTTATCTAGCTTATAGATTCTAGTTTTGAAAATATCTCAAGAAAGATTTTGTATGATGATCGATATATGTCATATTTCAAGGTAAATGTTATTATTATGATCTTATATGATTTGTAAATATTTATGAAATATATAATCTTCTATTCTTAATTAGGATTGTATAGGAGCTATCGATGAAACACATGTGAATGCTCGTGTTTCAACTATTGAAAATGTGGTTTATATAGGACGATGTGATTCAACGACGCTAAATATTATGACTATTTATGACTTCAACATTTGTTTTACTTTTGTAATGTTAGGATATGAGGAAAATGCACATGATAATTATATTTTTAAATTTGTTATACATAATCAACAATATCAATTTCCTATGCCACCATCAAATATGTATTTTTCTATTCTAATCAACCACTTTTTCTTTAATTAAATAATGTATAATTACACACATATAAATATTATCTTGTGGATGCTGGGTACCCAATGCAACAAGGGTTTTTGAAGTCATTTTCTGATACAAAGTATCATATTCCTGATTTTCAAAGAGGGAGTCAATCCATACTTGGGAGAAAAAAAACATTTAACAAGCGTCACTCTTCACTGTGAGGTGTGATTAAGAGGTCATTTGGTATTTGAAAAAAGAAGTGGGTTATATTGTGTGATATGCCTACATATCTATTCAAGAAGCAAGTGAAAATAGTAGTGACAACAATGACATTACATAACTACATACGACATCATCTCTCTCGCATTATTTTAGAATTCAATGTTTGCGATAGGGATCAATCATATATACATCTGAAAGCGTATGAGTATCGAATTGGCCAATCATTATTAGATCACGAAAGAGATGTGAAAAATCATGAGGCGCAATATGGGGAAGGTGCTAAGGAAATAATACAACTACGGGAGCAAATCACATCTGCATTGATTAATGAAATGAATTAGAAATCATTTTTCTACACAAACTTCTCTAGCAACATTATTTATATATTTTACAAGATTATAGTGATATCATTTGATCTACACAAACTTCTTAGTATCAATTTTTCAGTTTTTCTCTTATTCATATTGACTTTGATGGTTAAAAAAAGATGAAATATATACAATTATACTATTTGTATGTTTGCGATATGGATCAACTTTGTTATGAATGATGGAAGAAAATTAGAGTGTCAATGTTACTTCCAATTATAAAACAAGTATTTTTAGTAGATGATAATTTTCCACTGAGAATCTGAACTTTGAACTTCAGTTCTTTGTTATTTATTAGCTCAAAAACACAGTCATTTACAATTTTTAGATTATTATGCACCACAAATTATTTTCATCCATCTCTTATAACATTTATATTTAGGTACACATTGCATTTAGCAAACCATTCATTCTCTTTACAACAAAGTACAATCCGTGCTGAAGATGGTGGAAGAAACTGATGAAAATTTTGGAATTTTCTGACAAAGAATCACTAATTTGTTAGTTTAATTAACGGTGAAGCATTATGTTTTACTTGTACACCAGACAAAAAATATGCTTTCTCACTTCAGTTCTTTGTTATTTATTAGCTCAAAAACACAGTAATTTCCAATTTTTAGATTATTATCCACCACAAATTATTTTCATCCATCTCTTATAACATTTATATTTAGGTACACACTACATTTAGCAAACCATTCATTATCTCTACAACAAAGTACAATCCGTGCTGAAGATGGTGGAAGAAACTGATGAATTTTTTTGAATTTTCTGACAAAGAATCACTAATTTGTTAGTTTAATTAACGAGGAAGCATTATGTTTTACTTGTATACCAGACAAAAAATATGCTTTCTCGGGATCTTGACTATAAAGATAGAACTACAAATTCTTTTGTTATGTCAATACTAAATGTTTTGATTTATGTCAAACAACAGAACCAACTGACTAAACAAATTCAATATGGATAACAAAATGCATCAATCATCTTATGATTATTTCTCTATCAACAATCAACATACATATGTGTTTAATTAGGAAGATCCTGCACAGTTAAACATTAATGTTCCAAAAGGGGAATATAACCTGAAGACAGCGCTTGCTAAGCACTGTGTATCCTAACAGAAAAAGTAAAATAGAGAAAAGGAAAATGCAATAAAGGAGAATATCATTTCTCTGTATTAAAATTATGCATTACACTGTTCATCTCAGTATAGGCTATATATTGAATTTACTGTCATATATGTGTTCCATAATTCCATTCTTCTCATATGCAATTATGATATCCGAAAGTTTTGATTTCCAGACCTTCCTTTCCGTTGCCAATTCTCTGGATATCCGTTCAGCTCATATGCAATTATGTATTTCTATACAATAACAAAAAAAATGTTTGAGTTTATATAGTTTAAATTTATGTATACCGAGGGTAGTAATGTAAATTATTTTTATATAGTTGTAGCAAAGTAGTTTTGCAGTTATACAACAAAAATATATATATACTTTTTTATGTATAGCAACTTCAAAAAGCAACTTTTTGTACAGTAACTTCACAACCTACAGGATACATTTTGATTTAATGGTAGACAAAATGGGTATTATACTTCTTTAATAAATCTAGCCTCCAAAAGTTTTTGGCTATTCATAATTAATTGGTTTAGCCAGCGTTGTGCTGATTCTCCTAATTTTTTTTCTTAATCGGCCTCATGTTTTTGTCCAAAATTAAGTTTGTGTAGGTGACATTAATGTTGACCATGAGCATTTCATCTATTGACCATTGAAATCTGCAACATTCTCTCTTGGAGTTGTAATGAACTTAGCCCTTTTTTCCTTGTCAAATATAATGTTGATTCAAAAGTTGTGATTTTGATTCTCTTCAGAAATTGATTCTTCCGCTACAACTTTAAAAGTTTCAAGTCCATATCCTCTCTAAGCTTCAAGTTAGATGATTTCTTCTTGCATACTTTCCACATCAATCAAGTAGCATGCTCTTAATTGTAGCAAATTGTATATCACAGTAACCATTTTCTTGCCTATTGGGAATTTTATAGTGATACAGTAGTTGGAATTGACTCCTAAAAAATTATCTAGAAGAGGCTAGTAAAGTTCATAATAAACGTAGCTGGTAAGCCAACTATGATGCTATCAACCATGACTATAAATTGTCTCTCTTTCTCCCCAAGGAATTGGTAGTGCAATCATGCCTCAGCTTTCTCATCTTTCTCCTGAGAGCCAAAAAGAGGACCTATGGTTTGGGGTTTGGTGAGAAGCTCAAACTTCATCTTCTCAAAAGTACTATTGGAAATAATATTGACTAAACTTCTAATGTCAATTAAAATTCTACCAATTAGTGATTCTCAATGAAATAGTTCACAATCAAGGTTGTGACAACAATGACGTCATTATGGGGGTTTTCATTTGCTGGTTTGTCGATCTCAATGAAATAAAAGGTGTCACTTCAATATTTTGGACTCTTGATGTACTGGACAAGTTAACCTCTCCTGACCCAAGTTATTTAAGGTTAGCTTGGTGCAAAGCTTCTGCTACTGCTCAACTAAGAATAGCTGGAACCACTCCAACAAAGCGAATCATCTGATAGTTCATTTCTTAATTCTTCAATTGGCGTCTTTCCTTGCCTTCTTCCAGGATCATCAAGGATAAATTCTTTTAGTTTTTACCTTAATCATCTCCTCGACTAAGTTTCGGAGATGGCAACACTCTTCCATGTCATGTATAGGATATGTAGTTGTACTTATCGGCATCAGCGTAACTATTGATGAGCTCAAGCAACTTGACCAAAGTCCTTGCTTGCTTTCAATTGAGTGCATATCAAAAGAGTCTATTGCAAAGACCATGAGTGTGGACGACTTAGGCTACAACCAACTCCATATCTTTAGCATCCAACATTTTCTTCTAAAATCTTGTGATGAAGCTTCTGAAAGCTTCATTAGGCTCTTGTCTCATTTATAACAATGCTTGAGAGTTTCGGTGGCTTTTACACGATGGCAAATTAAGTGATGCAAATCTTCTTGAAATCAGCAAATGAGGTGATTAACTCAAGTGGCAGGTGAGAGAATTATCTAGGAGGTGATTTTTTAAAGTAGTAAAGAATATAGTCTATACTTTAAAACATCTTTAACATCAAGTAAAGAGACAGCGGATTCAAAGTAAGCAACGTGATCCACTGTATCTATCACTCCTTTACGCGTGGCAAGTGAGGAATCTTGAACTTGGCAGGAAATTTTTCTTCTACAATCTCCTTGGAGTCTAAAGTATGTCTATTGACTTTTTTATTTATAAGGTTAAAAAGACTGCACCTAAAAAAATAGATAAACAATATATTATATGGCAAGTATAGACTGATATAGTCATGTAGACTGGAACGAAAGGTGTACGTGTGGCTCTTTGCCTTTATCATGGCTTGGGATGTTCCTTGGGGGGTACCTTGGGCGAATTCTCAAGAAAGAGTATCTTGGGAGAGTCATCGAGGGAATATACCTTGGGAGAGAGATCAAGAACAAGTTCCTTTGGTGAGTCCTCAAAAGAGAGTGCCTCTAGCGAGTTTGTGAAGGTAAGTCCCTCGGGGTGAGTGATGGGTCTCCTAGATGGTTGTGACTGTGAGTTGGGGATGAGCATAGTTAACAGAGCCATAATCATGAGCTCCTACGGTGTGCGTGCTTCATGTAACTTGATCCGGGACATTCATGGAAGGAGGATGACTTTAGTTGGGGAAAACTGCTAAGAAAGCCGAGTTCAAATGTAGTGAAAGTTTCTTAGGTTGAAGGCTTATTAAAGTGAATTGTCTAGCTAAAAATCGTCGGGAATGGGCACATCCCTGATATGATCCTCCAAGGTCATGTTCATATGCTGCAAGCTCCACTAAGACGAAGCCTCCTTTTCCATAGCTTAGTTCAGGTGATTGCCCCTCCGAGCGAGGCTTGCTTTAGGCGATTGTCCCTCCTGGCCACTCCCTTTGGGTGCGAACCTTTTTGGCTGCCTGCAAGTGACTCATGGGCAAATATGGATATACAGGCACAATTATTGGTTTTCAGCCATGTATGGTTTGAATATAACATGGTGTCTACATAATATAACACAATGTGAACCCCATTTTTCTTGGAGTGTGGTACCTATGTTATCATGGGAAGTCAATTTTCAGACTACTTGTAGCATCTTACAGTTCTGCTTGGTCTTGGTTCCCCTTTCAGTTTTCTCCTTACATTTTACCAACTTTTTTTACTCAGGTTGGCATACATAAACATGCATCATATTTTCACTGTAAACAGTAACTAGCAAATTTATGTTTTGTAGGTTGAGGATCTAGCTCATCATTCTCCATTAAGAAAAAGAGTTTTTAAAGTATACGGCTGTGTCGTAACTTCTCAGGATTTTGTTGAACCCAAAGATCCGACTGGAACTTTTGATAAGGTATGCAAATGCACTTGCTTTTATTGAAGTTTACTCTACAATCTCATTGATTCTCATTTAAAGCTGCACAATACATGTATTTCTTAAACATTAGCTTCATATTGCATCCATGCCCTATATTAAGCAAGGTAGTGGGAGATTTATATCATGCAATAGCTTTATTTGTTCTATTGGAAAAATTGCGGTCAAAAAATACCAATCCTTCAACTAATGAATATAAGGAATCTGAGTTGCTTTTCATTCTCATTTTTTATGATCTTGGTTTGTTGGCGTGGAAATCTGGAATTGAGAATCTTATTGAAAGCTATCTAGTTCTTTGATCCACGGGAACCTCTAAGGTATTATTGTCAAGTTGCATCAGAAGTAAGGTGAGAAGCGTTGACATTCTATAAATTTGTGCAATGAGCTGCAAGTATAAATATCTAGTTCCTGGCCTGCAAGACAATCTTAACAAGGTAGGGATGCCTGAACAAATTATTCTTCACAATTTGGAGAGGCTTTTTGGAATGCAGCCTCTGTCAACTCCACCATTTGCATGCAAATGATTGGTTCTTGGCGAGTCCCATATTTTGTTTTCAAGTATTGACGTGCCTCATTCCACATTCAATCAAATTTGACGTGCAATGACACAATAGTTTGGGATCTCATGAGCAAAATTTGAACATAAAAGTGATTTTAAGTATTTTTTAGATGTTTTGATTTGGGTCAAATTTAGAGAGAGAGAGAGAGTATTTTGTTAATAGGATATTTTATATAGGTGTCCAATTATCTACATCGGAGTGAAGTATCAAACAATCTAAATTTAAGGTGAGTATTCATGTTCCTAATTTATGATAATATTATTGCTTCTTCTAAGCGCATCATTGATATTTAACTACTTGTCATTATTACAAACTATTTGTGTTATTTCTGTTAAATACAATTGATAATATTAAATTTGATGACATAAACTTATAATGATTCAGTCATTTAGTATAGCACGATGCTGATCGTATTGTACAAATCATTGATATTTGAACTGAATATACTCTATGATGATGATCGATAGAGACGATTTTCAATTGTCCTGTACGAACACAATGAAATTGAACTAATCTTTTGAAACCTCCACTTCCTCTGTTTCTTCTGAAATCATCCGCCCCTGGTTCAGTCTTTTGATCCTCACACACCTCCGAACCCAAGTATGTGTTTGAGCCCCATCTGATCCTCCCATCACCCTTCAGCTATCAATCCAGCATTTCCAGTGTGCTAAACTTCTTCCCCACGCTCAAACAATCGCTACTCTGCAGCCGTAAACTCCACGCCCACCTGTTCCTACTTATCTGATTTCACACCCATTGACCCGAGACCCTCAATCAGCCTGATCTCCTCCCTGCTTGAAACTCTCGTTTAATCTTCCCTACCTCCAGATCATCCGCACCTCAGAGCCTGTGCCATCAACTTCAATACTGATGTCACAGCTTTCAGCTTTGCTTACAAAGGTATAATAATCCCTTAAACTCAAAAGCTCCAAAATCCTATTCTCAGTGCTTACAGCTGGCGAGCAACCATCTATGTGTGCTTTTCTTAGCGCAGTGGGAGGAAACTCGTCACGGTGCTTACAATGAGATAGGTAAGCCTTGTGCATGTTTTTTTTAGCTTGGCAGGGTAAAACTTTAAGTATCCGTGTGTGCTTCAGTGCCTGTGGGGAAAAACTGTGTTTTCAAACAGGTACCTCTGAAGACCTATGCACGCCTTGCATGGTAGGATTGAAGAATACGGCTACGGTGTAACCCGACACGACCGTGCACATCTTTTTTGTGGTGGCGGATAGGCTATGACTCTTGAAATTTCCCCTAAACGGTCGAGACGCAAGGAGGTTGCCGAATTTTTTCAATAACAAGGGACCTAAAATTGGACAGCAGGGGACCTTATTTGAACCAAAGATAGTAGGGAAGAAAACCTAAAATGATGAACAAGGAATTGAACTCTAATTTGGTAAAATGCATGGTTAAAAAATAAAAATATATATACAGGAGCACACTTTTTTTGTGAAGAAATCGCTGTGTTAGAATGCCGTACTTTTAACTTTGGTGCTCTTTTCGTTGTAAAATGAAATGCGGCATTGTCAATAAAGTATTGAACTCTCAAATATAGTAAACCAAGTTTATATTGTATTAGTTATACTACTATTCCTCTAAATAATCTTTAGTAGTTTCAATCATTCACGTGAAGTAGTATTTCGTTGCGGAAAACTTGCACCTTGAATGGTTTGAACTCTATACCATGTACATCACAATCTGCAAAGTGAACCTTGTGATTGTAGCTGCAGGTAAAAGGAATCCTTAGCAAAGGAGAAAAAAAAAGGGTGAAATTAAGTTTGAATATCATAGTCCAAGTAATAAAACCACATTTCCCAAGTACAAACAACCAAAAAGGTTTCAGTTCACCTCCTTATGGTTTACCTTATTGTACTTTGAATAAATTGGTATATTGTTCCAATATTTTTCCATTGCCTTATGGGTTGAAATAAAAATGATTCAAACCCCATGGGGTAAAGTGGACTTTTCTCTTAATTAAAAGAGAGAAAAAGCACTATGAAAGCAATAAAGCAATCAGATTTGTGAATTAGAAGTGTTACAACTTAATCATTTTCCTTTTCCTGCAGTGAACTAGTTGCCATTTTTTATTTTTCTAATCTTCATTGTTTTGTTTTGCACGCCAATTCTATCATGTTCTCTTTTACTTGCTCATTTTCATTAATGTTAGTGTTTCTACATACAGGCATAAATGAGTAACATCGTCTATTCAGATATGCATATTACAGTGTGAAGAGTGTCTGTATTCTTATTCTGTATGCCGTATTCACATTTGCTGGCTTTTCCTCTCATATTATGTAGGTTGATTATTACGCACATCCAGATCATTACAATCCAGTCTTCCATGAAAGAATCGCTCCATATGCATCTGTCATAGGTAAGTTGTCTACACTATTTGCTATTTTTACCATATTAAAATTAGATTTCTCAATCAGGCTTTGTTTTATAGAAGAATACTCAGTCTAACTAACTCATTAAGTTTTAGAAGACAATCGGATTTTATTAAACAAGAAACTAAGATTTTAAATGCCTCAATCTCGCCTTTTTTTAACAACTTGTCCAACCTTAAGTTTAACACAAAAAACCCAAAATCAGATTGGCTAGAAATTGGTAAGGGAATTTCATTAACTTATTTGGAGATTTTAATGCCTTAGACGCGTTGATGCTATCCATTTTGGTGAACGGGCGACGTTTGAGTGAATTTGATTGCAGTCGAGGCATTTTGAACACGAATTGCACGCATTAGATGGCCATCGTTATTGTCGTGTTCGATCTAATTGAATGGGGACGCATACGGAGGTCAACACTCTCACTTGGTTTCAATCTTTGGTGTGGATCTAGCCTTAAGCGTTGGTCTATATTCTCAATACTCCCATGCCCAAATGTTTTTGCAGCAACCACCTTGACCTTGACTGCACCCAGCTTGATCCATTTCAGCTTCTTGACATAGAAATCCTCATTTCTGGGAAGCTTCATTCCCATTTTTGAAATACCGGCATGCAACTGTGTGCTACAACATTGTGGCCTCAACAATGAGTATTACAAGGATGCCGTAATTCTTATCTTCAAGGTTATGCTTACACTGGCGAGTTAACTCAACCTTGGGATCAAGGGTTTGAATCAGGTTCAAATCTTAGGCTCAAATTTGAATTAGTTCTTCTCTACATTAATTTGGTTTGAACCATAGGGTCCAATTTAAATTAGTTCCTCTCTACATCAATTTGGTAGATATTTGCGAATATAAAGGTTTGTCCCTCATTAGGGGTATTTTTGTCCCAAAAGAATTTGAGGGGTATTTAGTTTTTAATATAAGGGGTATTAGTTAAAAATATGCATTAAGAAGGAAAAAATCAAAATTCTCTTATAAAATAATAAAGCAATTTAATAATCAATTAATAGGAAATAAATCAAATAATTGCAAACTTAAGCCAAATAAATTCTTAAATTATAGAAAATTATAGAATATATTTTTAACAACTAAATATATTTTAAAGTTATTTTAGACAAAAATTAAACTAACTTCGCTTGGTTTATTATCTTTAAAATCTTAGGAGAGTCTAACTCAATCAATTTACATTTAAATACGCCTATGCTCACACGTTAGTCTAAGTAATTTTTTATCAATCTTTGTATTAAAGTCGTCATAAATTATCCACTTGAGCTCATCTTCAATTACTTAAAGCTGAAGCTAGTCTAATTACAAATCAGAACTCTAGAAACTATTAGCAAAACATTAGATGATTCCACTTAAAACTTGTTATTATCAAATCCTTAGTAAGCCACAAATGAGTCACCTAGGCTAATAGGATCAACAGTAATGCTTTTAGAAATATGACATCACTGCAGCCTATTGGACCAGTCAACTGAAATCCCAGCATATAAACTACAACAAGTAGCAGCCAAATTGAAAGCCTAACATCCATCTTAAAGAAACAAATTAAGGCCCAAATGAGAACCAATAGCTAAACAAACACAAAGCCCAAATCATCACAGTGAACCAACAGCAAACTCGTGAATCCTGCCCAATGGAAGGCCAAAACAATAGAACAAATGCTGAAACAGAGAACCAACAGCTGAACCAAACGAGTGGCGAAATCTTTAATCGTTAGAGAACATATTCTCTCCTCTTAGGAATCATCATATGCATGAATATACCAACATAAAGATTAAAAAATTAGAAAAAACTACTTAAATCTGCTAAAGGAAAATCTAAACTCAGATTTTCCTGTCTAGTAAGCTTTGGAATATACCATTTAATATTCGCTGTTCTTCAGTTTTATTATTTTACTCCCAGTTGAGTTTTTTTATCTTTGCCAGTTATGTTTCATTATTTTTGTGACTTTCAGAAAGAAAAATCCACAGATGCAATGAGGTTGAATTAGGGGTGAAAGTGAGCCGAGCCGGCTCGTGACTTGTTTATAGACTCGCGAGCCGAGCTTATCGAGCTCACGAGTCAAGTTCGAGCTCGAGTTCGAGCTTGATGAGACTCGGCTCGCGAGCCAGCTCGAAATTATTAAGTTTAAATATTTTAAAATTATTAATAATGATTTTTTTATATAAATCCAACTTCCCGCTGTGTATTTCATTCTCAAATGCCGCGCATAGATTTCAATTTTCAAAATTAAAGTAGTCTAATCTGACAAACTTCAGCCGTCCAATCTCTCAGCTGAAGTGACTTGTTCATTTAAATAACCTGCTGAATAATAAACGCAAACACTTTATTCTCCTCTCTCTCTCTCTCTCTCTCTCTCTCTCTCTCTCTCTCTCTTTTCCCGCTGCATTTTTAAATGAACGGCTCACCAAGTTCATATTTCAGAAGGCGAACCGGACCATATGGGAGGCTCGGCGAGCGGCTCGAACTCGTTTAAAGTTGAACGAGTTGAGCTGAGCTCAAAAGTTGAGCTCGACTCGAGTTCGAGCTCGAGCTCGGTATTTGACAGTTGAGCTCGACTCGAACACCTCCTGACTCGAGCTCGACTCGACTCGTTTGCACCCCTAGGTTGAATGCTCAAGCATGCAGACTCTTACTTTTCCGCCTCCCTCCTGCTCGGCATAAGCTTGCTTAGGTTTTAGAAAACTAAATAAAGAGTATGCTGGGGTTTTGAATTTCTGGTCCACAGTTTTGATGATCATTCATACAAAATGTCCTACGAAACTTTCTGTACACGGAAGTCATTAATTGGATATAAATGGATGGTTGTGAGTCTATGGTAATCAAGCTTAGCTTGTGTTGATGATTGAAGCTGCTCAAAATATATCTGCTTGCTGTAGAAACAACAGGCCAGCTGATATGATCTGACTTGAGTGGCGAACATCCAAGATCAATTATCTTTTGGGAAGGTTGACTGTGTTAGAATTTAAGATGAAACAACTTGCAACCTCAATTTTCATCGGTGAGGCTTATAACCCTGGTGGTTTTAGAAAAACAAACGGGGCATTTAGGCAAATATCTTGTTAGCACTTGTAATGTTTATTATATTTGATAGGAAGTACCCTAACATACTTTGACAATGGCTCTTTTCTGGAGAGTTTTGATTGCACACATTTCATTAGGATTCGCTGAATGTCTTTAACTAGTTATTTTGTTTTCTGCATCCATCAGATCATAATTGGATTAGATTTCCTGTCACTGAACATCTGCGCTCACACATTTCATCTAATATCTACTATTTGTCAGTCAATTGCATGTATTGGGAAAATAGATTCCTTCGTTTGCTTACTACAAAGCAAATGCAAGAGCTAGCAAAGAATGGATGTCCTCTCGTTGGAGTTTCAGATATAACTTGCGACATTGGGGGTTCCATAGAGTTTGTCAACCAGTTGACGACAATTGAGAAGCCTTTCTTCAGGTATATATGCTTATTCTACTATGACAAGAGTGCTTATTTTCTATTAGAAATGATATTTCTTTATTAGATTTAAATGAGAATTTAACTCTTAACATAAAATAATGGAGAAAAAGGATTCATGTAGCCGACCCTGCATAGTGGGACAAAGGCTTGATGTTGCCGTAATCCTTTATCTTATGCATTAATTGATGCCTGTTAGTGAATATCAATTGTTATATATTGCTTTGCTTCTCTTGTCATTCTTTAGGCTGGATGAATGAATGCGCATAAATTAGAAAGGCAGGATTTTAAATCATAAAAAATATACTAACTTTTGTGTGTAAATCTTAAATAGTTTTACAGGAGTGAATTTATGTTTCCCAAAAGCTGTTTAAGAGAATTGTTAATGAAAAAACGCAGACTTTTTGGATTAGCTAAAGTAGGTGTTAGTGAGTTGTCTGTCATTTCTTCATTATAGAAATGGGTAACTCATCATGCCTTCCACTTGAGGAAATCCAAGAATTAAAGTATGGGCCGTTATGAAACTTCACTCGAGTGCATTTATTCTTCAATAATATCAGATAAGATACATATTAATATCCTCAAGGAATTAAATTTCTGGTTCTTGCTGAACTAACCTTTAATTTTTTTTATTGTTCCCAAGCTGGTTCATACTATTGAAAACGTGTTTCTTGGATAGTTTATGAAGGCTTTGTTTGGGACCGTTTTCTTACTGCTTCTTAAAGCAGCTTTCTATTTTGTACTAGAAAGCTGCTTTAAGAAGAAGTAAGAAAGCCTTTCCAAATGAAGCCAAAGTCTCATTCTAGGCCATCACCACTGCTAGCTTTTCTATGCTTATTTTATTTAAAAATTTCTCTCTTCAGTATATATGTGATAGTTGTTGTAGTATGTATGTGATAGTAGCCTACTAAGGCCCATTTATATGTTCCCTTTGGCTGATCTATTTTGCAACATACATGGTTCAAGTTATTCTAGCTTCTACCACATAATGTGTTGTTTGACAAACCTCTTGAGTATTTGGCTGATCAATTTTATGCTTTCTAGCTTCACCAATATCCCGTTGTCTTATTCTTTTGATGTTACAAAATGGTTAGAAATTCTGATTGTGGTTGTTAGGTATAATCCTTTTGCTGATTCATACCATGATGACATGGATGGTGATGGTTTAATATGTCTAGCTGTCGACATTCTACCAACTGAGTTCTCAAGGGAGGTAAGTCATTTCAACTTCTTTGTCATACCAAATTTTGGTAAAAAATTTTTGTTATCAGCTATTGTGTACTGTAGTAACTTTAAGCTCTTTTTTATATAGTCGTCCCAGCACTTTGGAGATATACTATCACAATTCGTAAGAAACTTGGCTTGGGCCAAAAACATGACAGAGCTTCCATTGCACTTGCAAAGAGCTTGCATAGCTCATGGAGGATCACTTACCCCCTTGTATGAATATATTCCTAGAATGAGAAACTCTTCTACAATGTAAGGAACCTTTGCATTTTTCACTCCCTTGATATGCATTTCTCATATTAATCCTTGAAAAAATATTAGAATATTCTTAATAAGTCATTTGTTTTGATTTCAATATTTATATAATCAAAATAATGACAGATGAGAGATGACGGTGTGTGTGAAGATATCTTCAAAATGATGACAGATAACGGTGGAATCATAAAAATTAAGTAAATAGTTTACATTTGTGTGCAACATATCATTATTCTTTTAATAAACTTGAATAAATGCAAAATTGTGAATTAAACTTGGAATTGCATTCTAGATACTGGAAATATTTTCAGATTCATATAGGTAACAAAACTGTGAGGAATGGTGGAAAGCAGAGAAAAAAAAAAAGAAACATATATCAAAGTGTTTTCTCAAATTGTTATTGCACGATTCCTCTAGACAACGTTTTGATCATTGAAGCGTGATGAAAGAGATGAGGCTTCTCAAGCATCCCAGATATAAATTCAAAATTTAATCCATAACCATTCATTGAAACTCCAATATATTGGGTCGATTTATTGAAAAGTAAAATGAGATAGAATGATCTGAATTATATGTATATTTTATTTAGGAATTAACACCCCTATTTACATAGCATGATTCTATGTTACTCTAGATATATCTATCTATGAAAATAACTAATTGCATATTAATTATATAACAAAACTTCTAGGATAGAATATTCTTGTACTTAATCATGTTTCTATATATGCATCTATAGAAATAATAATAAAAAAAGATATTCTACAACTTGGAATATTTACTCATCCTCAATCTTGAGAGGGATTTTCGTCCTTTAATGCCACGGATTGCCACAATTTCCAAAAACAGGAATCTCCAGCTTGCCATCCCACTAATTGCCTAGGTGAGGAAAGTTGCCAACACTTCAAATGTGGATTAAATATTTTGGATACCTAACTTGGTAGTCCTTTTATTAGATTGTTGGCCAACTACTTGTGTGTTTGAGCATATGGGATACAACTCTATTTTTAATTCAATTTTAATCTAATGAAGTGTCGATCGATTTTTATATATTTGGTTTAGTCATGTTAGGCTAGCTTATGCCAGATGTTGATGAATAATTTATTGTCGAGTATAACTTCATAGTATTTTTTTTTTCATTTTATTTGCTATAATATTATTACTGGAGATCTTATCATAAAAATACTCAATCAAACTCTGAGGAAAATATATTTTAACTGTTCATGCTGATGATGAACATAAACTTTCATTTTTTTTCAATTACTAGAATATTATAACTGGATATCTTGTCATAAAAATGCTCAATCAAACTCTGAGGAAAATATATTTTGGGCATTCAAGCTGCTGATGAACATAAATTAGATAAACAAGCAAAGATATTTCTGTCTAAATCTTTTCACATGCAAAAGAAAAAGTAATATTTGATCGTTTTGCACTTAAGCCTACCATCCATCATTCACACTAGTTTGCCAATGATTAAAATTAAGTTTGATTAAAGATCGTTAAGAGCAATGTCATATTAAGTATATTCGTATGATCACACTAAAAATCTCACACTACTAAATATATAAAATATGCCCCTTAACCCAGCGGTTAAACTGATTACAACTTCACCACTACATTATGGTTACAATCTAAGCCTGAATATTTCCCAATGGCTAAGTTTAGGAGTCTTGCATCGGAAGATACATGATAGGGAATGAAATTCGATGTTAGCCAAGGCCAACTTAAAATTGTCCCTTTCGATGAACTTTCATTCTATGTCAACGAAGTCTTCTTAAACGATGCAGCCTATTGTTGCTGACAAGAATCTTTTGATCAAATTGGGTCTACTACTTTGTTGCTAAGTAGATCTGACTTAGGTTTTATCCTTAAATTTTGAATTCCTTAAAACTTCAAAAAATTTGTTTTTGATTTATTGAATAAAGGGCAAAATTATATATTTAATGCTCCTAAAACCAATGAGCTACTGAAACCAAATTTTTTGATGAATTTATAACCGAAACTGCAATCTTTCTTCTGTAGCATTGCTTATCGTCGTCTTTTGATTTTATACTCTAATCTCTATCTCTACTTTTATTACCCTTGCAGTGATTTAATAGCGGAAGCTGATGATGGTTCTTCTAGCAAGAGGAAGTACAGTACACTGGTATATTATTTTCCTTATTATTTGCCTGTCAATATTTTACATTCATCCAACTATCTATAGCAGAGTCTGTTTTCATGAAGATTGATCCCCATCTATATGCATGCAAGTTTTGATGGTGGCCAGATCCAGTATGCTAAACCTATGATTTTGCATGCATCCGTGCTTGAGATTTTCATTCTTCCATGAATCTTAGTTTGTGTAGCGACATGCTTACCTGATACAGTATTATTTGAAGCAATTATAAATTTAGAATAGCTTTGAGAATCACCTGAACATCACATCTCTTGTTGAACAGGTATCTCTAAGTGGCCATTTATTTGATCAAATGTTAATTAATGAAGCTTTGGATATTGTTGAAGCTGCTGGTGGATCGTTTCGCCTGGTTAAATGTGAAGTTGGACAAAGCATAAATCTCATGTCCTACTCAGAACTTGAAGTGAGTCAAATATTCTAAATCATCATTTTTTATTTCCATAACAAATGGTAATTGGATATTAGTTGTCCTCCAAAACTCTGAACTTTGGGGCTTTTAAGTAATAGCGGTATGTACTTTATTATAAAGTTGATTTGCCTCCAACAAATGCTCGTAAATTCGTTCTCGTTGTTGTTGAATATTTTATATACATCTTCTCTTTATTTCTTGAGTCTCTAGTGAGTTACCAACAGAATTAGAAACAATCAAATCTTTCATGATTCTATCATATATGATGGAATTTCAAAAACTAATGGATGGATATCTTACATTTGAATTGAATTCTTTCAAGTTAAAGAATCTTTTTTTAAGTTGTTCTACATGAAATGTGGGATTTTACTTCCGGTTTCAACATGCTATTGGGTGATGGTCCTGCTAATGAGGTCAAATCAATGCATTCTAAGAATAGTTTTACTGTTGCCATGTATGCTGCCGGCCTCCTTTGCCTCATTAAATTTTTTTTCCAATTATTTCCTTATCTCATCTATTACTTAGGAAATAATGTGAAATCACCCATAAATCCCTCTTGGCCGCCTACTAAACCTTGCCTGGAGTGATTTATTGCCTAAGTGATCGCGTCACTTTAGGAAATACATCAAACCTTCCCTAGTTTATCTTCTCTGTTTGCCGCCCAACACCCGCCTCCCTCCTCTACCCATCTCCCCTCCTCTCCAGCCTCCATCTTCTCTCATTAGACTAAGCTTTTGGATGCTTTGAGTTCTTTTCTCCCAAGCCTCTTCAATTACACCAAATAATCTGAGAATTCTCTCAGCTTTTTGGAGCAAAAACCTGAACATAAATTCAGGTTTTGATATCAACATTTGGAAGAAGATCCCTAGTCCTTTATTAGAGAAACTTCTTTCTCTACAACAAGGGTTGAGATTGCTGACATCAAGTGGAAGATCTCCGCGTCTCCTTAAGCAAAGGTTCTCCTTTTCACTTGCATTTTATTTCTTCTAAATCTAAATTCTCATTGGATGATTGTAATCATGAAAGCGCCTTCAATTGCTCTTTCCAAGCCTAGTCATTTGTAGGAACTGAGTGTAATCTTCTATGCATCCTACGTCTCGTTGTTAGATTAGGGATTTAACTTGAAAACTACTATTCTGTATTGCTTCTATTTTCTTAATTATCTTGATAGTTCAAACTCGGAGCATGTGATTTAGCCTACGCAATTGATCCACTCATTTGTTTTAATTGTCGTTTGAAAATTGCTTGTAATTTTGTTCCGAAATTGTTCTAATCTATTAGTTGTGCAATGCCCACATGAATCCATAAGCATGTCATCTAAGTAGTCCTACATCATCTGGTATCAGAGCATGATATGCTCTTGCATGTCTTAGGATTCCTGGTAGTTTTCCTTTTTGTGTTTTCATTTTGCAATTTTCATTTAGAAAAGCTTTTATTTTATCCCTAGGGTGCTACTAAAGCATTGTATGTCATTTTGTGAGCTTAAAACATCTTAAGTTCATCTTACACCCTTGTTTAGTGTGCTGTCCAGAAAATTCCTGCAGTTTTACAAACTTTAGGCTCACTACTTAAGTGTGTTTTTGCTGTCCTTAAACTTCGCACTCATTATTATTGTTAGGGTGACTTAGTACTTGAGTGTAGTTGGCTGTCCCTGAAATTCCTGCACCATATTGGGTCATTTTAGAGTGTCTTTTCACTCCCTAGCTTGCTGTCCACTTCCTAAGAAACCACCCAAATACCCCATTGTGTTTAGGAATGGACCCGGAACAACTAGGAATGACCTTAGACCTCTTGGTAGGCCAAATGAACACTATTAGCCAGCAACTCAAGGAAAACCAGGCGGATCTAGCTGAGCTTCGTAGGAACACCACCGAGAGATTTGATACACTTGAGCGAGCTAGAGACCACCCTACTCCCTACACCCCATCTAGACCACCTTCTATGTATGGGGATGAAGCCTACCCGGATGAGAGGTCACACCGGGCCAATCATCGAGCTACTTACTATGGACATGATCCACGTCATGATCCTGATTTGGATGAGAGGCATCACCGTGCCAATCATCGTGCTACCTACCACGGCCTTGTGTATGAGGCTATTTAAAGCCCCTTTGTTTTATTTTCAAGCTAATGAATAATTATGAGAAAATTTTCCTTCACTTGTGTTTGAGAGCCTTTGAGAGTTCTTGAAGAGTTTTGGAGAGATCCCTGGGAGAGGGAGATTGGCGTATCACCCACCAGCCTTAGAGACGGCCGGGTTCATGGTTTTCTTCTTTATCTTTGTCATCGTCTCCTCGTCGAGCTTCCAAACCCCTCCACCCATTCTCTTTCACCTCACGGCCAAAGCATCCTCACCCGACCCCTCCTCTCCAACACCCACATTCCAAGCTTGCCCAAGCCCCTTGCCGCCGGCCCAAGGCTTTAGCTGCCGGCCCTCCACCCCTTGGTTTCTTTATTAGGTTTCCTAATTTGGGTTTGGAATTAATTGAAATAAATTTGAAATTCAAATTCCCTCAAATTTGAATTCAAAATATTTCCTAAACTTGTTATTCTATTTTAGGAAAGTGATTGAATTAAATCTAATTTCAAAATTTAAATTCATGAGGATTTAAATTAATTCTTTCCTAAATCCAATTCCTAAATTAGAAATCCATAATTTCTTTTACAACTCAATCACCTAGCCCATGTATGCTGCCGGCCTCCTTTGCCTCATTAAATTTTTTTTTTCCAATTATTTCCTAATCTCATCTATTACTTAGGAAATAATGTGAAATCACCCATAAATCCCTCTTGGCCGCCTACTAAACCTTGCCTGGATTGATTTATTGCCTAAGTGATCACGCCACTTTAGGAAATACATCAAACCTTCCCTAGTTTATCTTCTCTGTTTGCCGCCCAACACCCGCCTCCCTCCTCTACCCGTCTCCCCTCCTCTCCAGCCTCCATCTTCTCTCATTAGACTAAGCTTTTGGATGCTTTGAGTTCTTTTCTCCCAAGCCTCTTCAATTACACCAAATAATCTGAGAATTCTCTCAGCTTTTTGGAGCAAAAACCTAAACATAAATTCAGGTTTTGATATCAACATTTGGAAGAAGATCCCTAGTCCTTTATTAGAGAAACTTCTTTCTCTACAACAAGGGTCGAGATTGCTGACATCAAGTGGAAGATCTCCACGTCTCCTTAAGCAAAGGTTCTCCTTTTCACTTGCATTTTATTTCTTCTAAATCTAAATTCTCATTGGATGATTGTAATCACGAAAGCGCCTTCAATTGCTCTTGCCAAGCCTAGTCATTTGTAGGAACTGAGTGTAATCTTCTATGCATCCTACGTCTCGTTGTTAGATTAGGGATTTAACTTGAAAACTACTATTCTGTATTGCTTCTATTTTCTTAATTATCTTGATAGTTCAAACTCGGAGCATGTGATTTAGCCTACTTAATTGATCCACTCATTTGTTTTAATTGTTGTTTGAAAATTGCTTGTAATTTTGTTCTGAAATTGTTCTAATCTATTAGTTGTGCAATGCCCACATGAATCCATAAGCATGTCATCTAAGTAGTCTTACATCAACCTTTTTCGTAGCAAAAGTCAAATCTAAGACAAATACTTTCCTTGTCGGATCATCGGAAGGCTGACGTTTTATGTGACCACCATCTATGACGACTCTTTCTAATCTTATCTTCCATTGGAGCTACTTCAACCTTTTCGCATATATGCTTATTTCATATCCTATCTTTAAGAGTAAAGTCACTCATCCATCTGAGCATCCTCATCTCTGCAACACTTAACTTAATATTATGTTTCCCTTTTAATAGCCAACATTATGCACCATAAAACATTGCAGGTCTCACTTTCATTATATAGAATGTTCCCTTACGTTTGAAAGGGACTTTTATGTCACACAACAAGCCAGATGCATTCCTCCACTTCAACCATCCAACTTGAATTCTACTAATAATATCCCCATCTATTTCACAATCACTCTGGTGTTGATCCCTATACCTCAATCCACGCGAGAAAAGACCCAAACAGGTGAATAAAGCGACAAGCGCCTTGGCGCCACACGTCACTTAAAGGGTCAAACAACATCTGATTACCAAACAGATGGTGGCATTGTGATCAAAACATCGAATTATGTTAGGTTGATGCCCCTCGCAATCGAGTAGGATGAGATCGGTCAAAAGGAATGACGACACCCGAAATTAAAGCGTGAGGCTGATCAAATGACGTCGGATCGACGAACAGACTTCGTCGTTGTGTCTGGAATATCGTCAACCTATAAAACTACATTTTGTTTATTCAATTTGAAGCATCCATATTGGTGGCACGGATCCTGATGCAATAACACTTGAATTTTTAGGAAAATCAGTCTGGTCGCTATCCAAATGATGTCGTTCACAAAATATATTTCGCCATTGTGATTGAAATATCTCGAATACTTAAGATTTACACTATCTATGTTCAATTTGAAGCATCTAGATAGGTGGCACGAATTTCGAGATAAAACACGCATATCGAGGCTCTCTTGTCATGAAACAAAAAGCCAAATTGGCTTTAGTTTCTTCTTTTCTTTCCTTTTTTTCTCGGTTCAATACACAGCTCGTTCTGTCCACTTCTCCCTCCAGCGAAATCCATGGAAAAAACATTCCCTGTTCGTCTCCTCCAGTCCCGACCCCACTTCACGTCAAAGCTTCCTCCCTCAACATGAAACGCACGAAGTCTTCCTCATTCTCTTGATCAAGAAGCTCTGTGGGATTTCCCACTCTTCACCTAGATTTTCCCATGGTTTCTGATCATCTGTTACGGCCATGGCCTTGCTTCTTCAATCCCTTGCATCTATGCGCTCCAAAAGGGCTCTTAACCTCAACGAAACTCGTTGGTGTGGGCTATGGCGGTGGGATCCCTATTTTCACATGTGCGAAGGCGGCTGGACTAAAGCTTCTATGACCTCAAGCCTGAGGAGTCCTTTGACGATGATGATGCCAATTCTGAAAG